GAAACGGAGCCTTAGGCTCATAAGAGGTCTCCACATTTGGGGTGACAAGCTTGGAATTTTCAATGCTAGACTTTGATTTTCAGGAGTGAAATTTGGATTAGATGAGCTGGGATTTGGATTTTTGGGAGGAAGAACTTTTTTATCTTTTCCTCTATCAACCTTGTTGTCCACAATTCGACCACTCCGAAGGGTGGTGATTGCTTGGACATGATCATGAGTAGGCCCACTTGGAGGAGGGACTTCGTCAATCACATGAATCCCTCTAGGATTCTCAAATGGTTAAGCGAGAAGTTTTCCCTTATCTTTTTGAAGAAGTTGGTTCATTGAATTAGCCATTTGTCCCACTTGATTCTCAAGTTTAGCTATTGACTGAGTATGTGAATGAACCATTTGGAGAGTGGGCTGCAATGATGTCAAGAGTTGCTTGTTAGATTCTAACATTTGCTTGTTAAGGGATTTCATCATTTGCTTATTTGCAGCGAGAATCTCATCAGTTGGAAACACAGGAGGTGGAGTCGAAACATTTGGATTATAGGGTGGATGGTAACTTAAAGTGGTCTGAAATTGCCATTTGAAAATTGAGAAGAGGGCTGAATTTGCTCCCCTTGATTTTGAAATGTCGAATTTTGTGGGGCTAGTTGCCTCCACAAAAAATTTGGATGATCTCTCCATCCTGGATTGTAGGTATTGGAGTAAGGATTATTTCCAGGCCTGGAAAACATGACATTCACTTGCTTTTAATTGTTACTAGGAAATTGCTCCAGTGTGGGGCAATCTTTCGGGAGATGGAATGGGCTAGTGCATGATGCACACACCGCATTTGCTATATTTTGAGACAAGGAAGGAGAGAGATGACGTGCCATTAATTGATAGAATTTGTGAGCTATGGCATCCACTTGAGAAGATTCTTCCCTCATTGTCTTCGATTGATATAGATTGGTGTTCTTTGCAATGGTTGAGGTTGGAGCCTTACGAGAATTATGTTGCAATGAGTTTTCACTCAAATTCTCGAGTAAGGTCCAAGCCTCATCAGCATTTTTAGACATGAACATCCCTCCACATGATGAGTCAACCATGAGTCTATGTTGTTCAGTTAAACCATCATAGAAAGCTTGCACCAATTGCCATTTTGGAATTAGGTGGTGCGGACACTTCCTAAGAAGGTCTTGAAGTCTTTCCAAAGTCTCATGGAGTTATTCCCCATCGATTTGTGAAAAGCTAAGAATGGACCGCCTCATTTGATTGGTCTTACTCACTGGATAGTATTTTTTTAGGAATTCTTGTTGCAATTGTGCCCATGTAGTGATGGAATTTGCAACAAGGGAGGTCAACCAATATTTTGTCCTATCTTTTAAAGTAAATGGGAAGAGACGCAAATAGAGTGCATTTTCAGGGAAGCCCCTCATCTTGATGGTAGAACAAATTTTAAGGAACTCATCAAGATGCTCATAAGGGTCATCATTTTGAAAGCCATGAAAGGATGGAAGCATTTGAATTGTGCTAGATTTGATCTCATATTGGGCTGCATCCTTTGGCATCACTATGCAAGAAGGAGAGGCATAAGTTGTAGGAATAAAATGGTTCCTAAGAGTCATAGGTACCACATTTGGAATTTCACCCCTTTCATTATTGATTTCCTCATTCCCCACATTTTCTTCATTTCCTGCCATTGTATTAAATTCAAGTTTTTCTTCTAAGAGTCATTTCAAGTGAATTTATGTCAATTGGTTCTTCAAGAGTTGGCAAAGATAATGACCTATGGCCCAACATCAACAACAAAATTAACACAACAAGCACAACACCCCTTCACCATAACATCCACATACAATGTTCCCTTTCTCCTCAATTATCAACAAGACAGAAAATAAATGGCCATGACAAGGATTGATGCTTTGCAATACAGAAAAACAAAAATAGCCTCGACAAGGGCTTCATAATCAAAGGTCTCAAATTTATACACATACAAGATATTCACAACTTTTTTTCACTAGAACTTTGAAAAACTTATCCAGAGTCCTTTAGACTTACAATCTTTTGGTTTCTCCTCGGCAAGCCTTAAGTCTCTAGAATCTCACAAGAGTATTTAAAACACAATATCACCAAAACCAAACTGAAAATATCCACATAAACAATATTCACAATCAAACCAAAGTTAGTCCTTAAACCTCGGCTACAAAATCGTTTGCAATCCCCGGCAGCAGTGCCAAAAATTAGTAGGTTTGAAATACGTTTACTAATTATAATCAACCCTTGCAATAGCATAAAACATTGTAAAATATGACTATCATAGGGGTACGTCGAACCACAAGGACTGCAAGTTTATGGCAACCAAGGTTTTATAAATCACTTTGTTTGATGAAAGAGGTGTAAGGTTTGGTTTTGTTTATCACTTAGAAATAAAAAATGAAAATTGCATAAAACAATAAATGGAAGGAATTTAAGAAGAGGGGAATTTATGTAGAGAGTGCTAGGGAAGTAAATCCACCACCAACCATATAAACATGCTAGCTTGTGATTAACTTGGAAAACAACTTATGTATATGATATGTAGTAATACAAGATTGCTACATTATCTTCAAGAAATTCATGAAAGCAAGAAGCAAGTATAATCCATCAAAGTTTTACATTCTTGAACTACCTAAACTAGGGTGTAGCCTTTGACATGCTCACTAAGCTAGAAACTATCAAACTCCTCAATCAAATGATAATAGCACATGAAGTCAAAAACCAAGAATAATCCATCAAAGGGAGGCCCTAAGCTATGGACTATCAAACTTCTCAAACAACATGCCATTAAACACCATTTCATAATCTCATCTCCATTCTCACTATAAAGATGCAAGCCATGTAATCATGAGAAAATATAATCTAAAACAAGATAATAGATTCAACGCAATCATTTATAGAAATTAAGGTCCATTACAACATGTGTAAAGTTCTAGAATATGAAACTACCATATACATGATTCATTCCCTAAATTAAAAGCAAAACTAGAGCATGCTTACAAAGAAGGGCTTCATCACCTCCTTAGAAAGGGAGTTAGTTACCCATAGAAGCAAGGGAGGAAGAGGTTGAAGAGATCTTTCCTTCCATTTTCGCACCTCCTAGCCAAAATACACACAAGCTCTCAAGAACACAATATTTCTCTCTCTAGAAATCCTTACAATGTTGGACCATCATAATACAATGTTTCAAGCCTTCTAATAAGCAAAAATATCCTCCCAACCACTCTTAATTCGTGCCCAAAATCCCTAAGAGAGTGCAGACCTATCCCTTAAATCAAGAGGATAACATTGGGTGAAACAATGTAGCCCACGACCTGTTGTCTGCAACTTGGTGGGTGCCCACGAGGTGTCAAGGCTGGCATCGACAATGGGGCATTTTGGGGCTGCTAATGGTAACCGACGGGCGCCCGCAGTGCATGGCGTGGCCCCGCCAAATTTGAAACCTACTGGAATGAATTTCTTTCATTCCTTGGAATTGAATGCCTCAATCACAAATTGGCGAGCGCCCGCACAATTTGTGCATGAGGCTGGCGGGCGCCCGCAATGGTCCTGGGTTTAAAAACACTTCTTTTAATTTGACTTTGGCTTAGCCTGATGATGCTATCCTTCTTCTTAGCACTTTGCAGAGAGTGCCATGAGTTCAATGGCACATATTAGCTTGGCAAAACTGTAAAGCCCCAGCCCAACATGCTTTGATCTTTAAGAACCCACCAAAACATTATTTTTATTCCCTTTTGGGAAACAAATCTGAAAATATATAAAAACATGCAAATGAAGATAACATATACAATAGAACCAACTAATGGACTTAACTAGTGCAAATAAGGACGCTTGAATATGCAATATTCGGCGCTTATCATTCTGCCACCATTATGTTCGATGAAGATTAGTCTGCAACGAAGAAACGACAACGTTTCTCTTAACACCAGTGTGGTGCCTGCCAAACACCTCTAATGGCTAAGTCAGTTTACTAAAAGAATAAATTAAGCAATTAATAAAGTAGAGTTCATTTGAATTTTATATTTATCAAATCAAAACTACTTTTTTAATTTATGTTGCTAACAGCATTTATCCATCTGTTCAACTTCTTTTTAGAGATTTCCCTCATCAATGTTAATGAAAGGCTGAGCTAGCAACTCAATTCATATAGCCGAGAAAAACTTCCTTGCGCCAGTTGCATTGTGCAACATATACATCTGGATCATTCTTGTAATATACACGCCTACGCGATAATAAATGGTTGGATGTGCCATGCATTTGTAATATACACGCCTACGCGATAATAAATGGTTGGATGTGCCCATTGCATGGTTACACATGATTGAAGATAAACAAAACAAATAAATAAATAAAACATTATTAAAAGAAATTAAAGCAAATAAAATCCGAAATTCTTTCGTCTGAGTGCTCTTGGCCTCCTCTTCTTTTTCCTCTCTTGAACCCTCACTCTTCTGCCCTCCCTCATATATATAATTATCTTCTAGAGGTTTCTCCAATGAAAGAAATAATGAACGTGGTCGAGAAGAAATTTTTGCACAATTTTCTTTCCATAATTATGTTTAGATTGCAGTCAAATTTTGACCTTGGAGTGGTTTTTACGAAATTACTATTAGATGCAAAAACGACATGCTTTAAGTTTTCTTTCCATACTACTTGAGTTTGTGCAATTCCAATATTCGAATCAAAATTTATGACCAAATTACTGAAAATGGTCTAGATTTTTCTTTCCAAATCTGAATATGAAATTTCATTTCTTGAAAATAAATTCCCAGAACGAATTTTGCTTGGTGAACAATCTTATACAAAACTTTCAGAATTCTCCATGAGCCCTTGGATACACTCAGGACGCTTGATCTCCTCAATGGTCTTTGAAATCTTATTTGCTTAAAATGACCTAAATAACCTCTTAAGTTGTGAAAATTACCAAAGATCTTAAAAGAAATACCCATTCTTTAATTAAAATAAAATATAATATAATAAAGTACTAACAAATATAATTTTGAAATAAAATATGCACTCATCATAGTTCGTCAAGTTGTTTTCAACTCGCAAAGAGCATCATTCAATCGTCAACAATATTCAGTTTTTCGTGCAACTTGAGAATAATGTGTGAAAAGTGAGGGTCAAAATTAGGCTGGAGACCTGGCCTGCATGGTCATTGAACCCAGACGAACTATTATACTCCTTCACGGTAGTTTTTGTTCACATTCATCAACTCTTCCTGCAATGTTTTCAATGTGGTGCAATTTCTACCAATAAGTTTACACCTGCTTGCTAGTGTGAGAACCAGTAAACCAGACCAGACCGATTTTTGTACGGTTTGTTGTGATCTGGGCTCCCAAAATATGAAACCGTAAATCTACATTACAGTTCAGCTTTAGTCTGGAGTCTTACAAGACCAAACCGAGCCAAACCGTTACTTGCATATGTGTGTGCATATATATATATATATAGCGCACGACGATTTTAGTTCAATTATTCCAAGCAATTTCTTCTGTTGAAGCTCCATCAGCTTCGTAACTCATAATTACACTAATATAAAAAACAGAGAGTTCCAGGATGACCTCTATGCTCATTAAGAAAACTTCTTGCCAAACTCTATGCTCATTACCAATATCCAACGTCAGCCGCAAACATCTGACATTGGATTAAACATTCAGACATTATTTTGCACAAAATGCCTGATCTTCTCGTGAAAATTCTGTCTTGTTTCTCAACTTTAACTATACCGTTCCACAAAGCATTGACCCCTTCAAAATGTACGTACGCCCATTCCCCTTAACACAGGAGAGGCTGTAGCCAAAAGATCTCATAGCTAGTGAGGAGATGCCTGCTCTATTGTCATTCCAATTACAGATCAAATATGATCTACTAGTAGTCACTGATGAAATTCCACTAAGATATAGCAATTGCTATATAGCATGATTCTATCCTAAAAGTAACATACCCCATATATGCAACTGATTCAAAGGACTGATCTGAGCAATCCTCTTCACAACCTCTACCCACAGCACAAATACATGTATATATATACAGGATGCCATCTCGAATCAATTACCGAACTTACCCTATAATTCAAACAGCTGAAATACTGCAAACAGGGTCTATGGGATGTTGCTAAACCCTCTGATTGAAGTCTAGGAGGCTGGGTTGGGGCAGCTCACTTGGAGTCTGGTTGTTGGCAGTCGAGTGAGAAATATGAAGCTGCTGTTGCTGTTGGGGCTGCTGAGTTTGGTTGGTGCTGAAGCGATGAAGCGCCTGAAGGTGGGAGGAAAATTGAGAGGCCAAATCTCTGCTGAAGGGGTTTCCATTGATGGTTGCGATCTTAAGCCTCTGCACTTCTTCCCTCAAAGCATCATTTAGAGCTGCATGCAACATAATTATTGTATATATTAATAATCCTCACGTCACTTGGATTGTATAAGAAACTATTTACTAAAGTACGCATCAGAAAATGAGATAGAATGGACTATTTCACATAATTTTCATGGCTTTGATATATGAGTACTTGTTTTAACCTATGCTTATAAAACAAAAGATATTCAAGCATGTAGTAGGTGCAGGCTTGAAGCATGCAACTTTTTCAGTTTTGCTGAATTCCTCCCGAAGACAAATGGGAAGTTAAATATACTCATTTCTTTTTCCAAATGCCAATGAGAATAGCATACACATTCTTGAAACAATGCATACCATCTCGTAGATGTGCTTCTTTTTCCAGTGCCTCTAACCGTAGTTTGAGTTCCTTGTTCTCAGCAGTCAATCCAGTAGTGCCTCTCTGCATAACATGAAATGACAGGGGCAAGCATGAGCTCTCATTGTCGTGTTTTCTCTGTTTCTATGTATAATTGAAAACTCAGGTTTATAGTAGATTATATATTAAACAAGCAAAGTAGCAAAACATTAGTTGAACAGCTTCAAAAAGGGATCTTTTAAGGAGCACTTGTATCTCAAGGGATTTCACATGTCAAATACAGCAATGCGAAAAATTTTAACACGGGAAAGGAGGGGGAGAGATAATTTAATCTCCTCTCCACAAAGGAAGTAGATGCAGAAAGAATATTATCACTGTCTCTCAAGTCCACTGTTGTCTAAGCAAGGGGAAAGATAACCTAGAATCCCAGAACTGGCAGTGCACCAAAGTCTATTTTCTATCAGTCTATCACATGAACCAAATTAGTTAATGTTACAAGTTGAAAGCTATATATTAGAGAGAGAAGAATTGACTGTATATTATTTCATATATCAAAGGATGATTACAATGGTTATATATAATGTTCTCAAGAATATAAAATAAGGAAAATGGTAGGTGAAGGTGGTAGGTGAGTTCAGAGCAAGAAATGCGTCTGGACCTATTGTGTGTCTAGGTACATACATCATGTGTAAAATATTAAAGCAGTAATCATGCCCCTAATTAAGGAAAAGTTGACTCTGAGTTGTATTCACGAAACTCCCCCTCAAGCTAGAGAGTAGATGTCAACGACTCCCAGCTTGCTGCAGATAGAATTGATACAATGCTTGGGAAGAGCTTTAGTAAAGCTATGAAGTCATAATTTCTTTGGAAGTAAAATGGAAATCAACTTCAATATGTTTGGTTCGCTCATGGAAAACCGGGTTATTGGTAATGTGAATCAAGGTTGTCAAAATCGTGATTCTAGATCGTAGAATCACACGATTCTACGATCCTACCAACCCAAAACGAGTCAACTCGTATAGAAATCGTTCCCCTAGGTAGAATCGTAGTAGAATCGTGCAGAATCGAAAGATTCTAAACGATTCTATAAGATTCTGACATATTCTTTGTTTGGGCTTATTTTTTGGCCTTATTCACTTTCTTAAGTTTTGGGCTCTCTAAATAAGAAAGGCCCACAATCTTGTGGCCCAAAAAATGTCCATATAAATAAGATGAAAACACTATTGAGTCCTAATTTCTAACTTCTCTATCTCTACTCTCTGTCGCGAGTCACGAACAAAGTTACCAGACCAGCCCTAAGTTCTCTGTGTCGCGACAATAGCTGCGATAGGTTCGAACTTCGATCAGTCAACAAAGTTACAAACTCTCAAAGGGTTGTCTTTTTCTTCTTTTTTTTGGGAGGAATATGATATATCATATATTCTGTGGCATTTTTTTTTGTTCTTCTGATCCAAGTTTTTGTTCTGCTTCTATTCTGACTTCCGTGCAAGCAAAATTTTGCCAATATTTTGATATTCTGAACTATTGAGAATTGAGATTGTGCAATTATTTTTTTTTCGACTGTTATATACTTCTATTTAATAAATATATATTCAATGTTTATCTTTATCAGTTTATGTTCTGTTTTAAAATTTTAACTTTCCACTTTCTGTCCTGTGATCTTCAATTTTTTTGCTGAGTTTTTTTATTCATTATTTCATATAAGTTGTTGGAAATTGTGTCTCAAATTCCTATTGTAATTAGGATTCTATTTTAGAGTTGTATTCTGTTAGGTAATTTCTTGTTTAGCAAGTCGTGGCCTCTAAGGAATTATAATCCTTGTCCAACAAGGAATTGTGTTTGTAACTCTATAAATAGGTATATATGTTGTGGGGGTTAAGATTCATAAGATTGAGAGAGATGTAGTCTCATGAGGAAGTTGATGGATAGAGATAGTATGTGGGTTGGTAGAGTAGAAAAAACACCGCCAACACTGTTGGCGAGGAGATAGGCTCGTTGAGTGGAATATGGTGAAAAGACATGTACGAGGTGTTGGTACTCTATTGTTGCAATATCTCTACGAACCATAGCGGAATCTCTTCTCATCCATAGACGTAAGCCGGTTTTTGGCTGAACCATGTATATCTTGTGTTTGTGTGTGATTGCTTTGTTCGCTTTCACTGGATCTTTGTGTTCGCATACTTCCGCCGCCCCCAACAAAATGGTATCAGAGGCAAAGGTAAAGGAGATCCAAAAAACACAAGAAGTCTCTAACATGTGCTGCAATGGGCTTCAGTTGTAGGTGAAGTTAATCGGCTTGGTTACATGGCATGGAGCTCGAGTATGTTATAGTTTTCGGAGTTCATTGAAGGACATCATTTTATTGATCTTCCTTTAGAGGGCACTGCTTTTACTTGGTGCAACAGGAGGGATTCACCCACTTGGATAGATTCTTGATCTCTGGTGAGTGGGAGGAGAAGTTCCCTGATGTGGTTCAGGCTGCTTTGGCTAGCGTGACAGACCATATTCCGTTGGTTTTGGATTGTGGAGGTCCGAGGCCTCGGTGTACTCCTTTCAGATTTGAGAACATGTGGCTGAGAGCGGGTGATTTTCAAGGAAAAGTGAGGGTTTGGTGGGAGGAAGCCTCGGTGGTGGGTACTCAGAGCTTCACTTTGGCTGGTAAGCTTCGTATCATAAGACGGAGCTTAAAAGATGGAATAAGGAAGTTTTTGGGAACTTGGAGTGGAGAAAGAATAGGGCTTTAGCTGAGATCCTTGTGATTGATCGGTTGGAAAAGGGGGGTGGTATCATTGACTCCCACCGGGATAAGAGAGCAGTTGTCAGGCGGAGATTGCAAAGATTGTTGTTATGGAGGAGATTTTGTGGTGCTAAAAATCTCGAGCTCTTTGGCTCAAGGAAGGAGACCGTAATACGAAATTTTTTCATAGACTTGCCAATGCTCATAGAAGGGGCAATCACATTGGGAGGACTCGAGTGGGCGGAGTGGAGTTGTGTACGGAGGAGGAGGTGCGTAGGTGGATTACTTCTTTTTACCAGAGGCTTTACTCTGAGCCGTTATGAGACCTCGTCTCGATGGCCTTCGTATTGACTCGATTTCTACAATTGATAGGGATGGCTTGGAAAATCCTTTTTCTGAGGAGGTGTTGAGGGCGCCGAAGCGCTGCAACGGTGATAAGGCTCCGGGTCTGGACGGATTTACTATGAGATTTTTGTTGGAAAGCTGGGAGGTGGCGAGACATGAGGTGATGGGTACCTTTGATGAGTTTCATTCTAATGGGAGGTTCAAAAAGTCTCTGAATGCATCTTTCATTGCTCTCATTCCTAAGAAAGGAGTTATGTCCGATGTTAAGGACTTTAGACCAATAAGTTTGTTGGGTTGCATTTATAAGTTTATTGCTAAAGTTCTCGCCTTGAGATTGAGGAAGGTTCTGAACGGTGTCATCCTAGAGTATCAAAAAGCATTTATTCGGGATAGGCAGATTCTGGATTCCGCTCTCATTGCCAACGAATGTGTGGATTTTAGGTTTAGGAGCGTTGTTCCAGGAGTTCTGTGCAAGCTTGATATTGAGAAAGCATATGATCATGTTAGTTGAAATTTCCTGTTATATCTGCTGGGGAGAGATGGAGGAAGTGGTGTGATGTTTCCAAATTTCAGTATTTCTTAATTTTTCCGGAGTTTTGTTGTGCAAGGGTATTTTCGTCTTTTCGCATGTTGCGTACGGAATTGTAGTTGGGTCCTGTTGCATTTTTCACATTTTAATTTATGTGAATTATGTGACAATTATGTGGTGGTGTGCACTTGTATGTGTGGTGTAGAATTAAATAAAAGGAAAAGGAAAAGTCAAAGGTGGAAGTGGTGGGACCCACCACTACACAAGTAATGGTCTAGAGACCATTTTGCATCTCATTTCTTCTCTCTCCCGTCGAGTTTCTCTATCTCATTTCTCTTCCATTTTCCTTTTCATTTTGGAAGCAACCTTTGAATCAAGATTTCTCTTTCATCTTTTATCGGATTAAGGTGCCGTTTGAGGCAAAATGAAGAGCACGACGAGCTCTACGCATCCATACCTGAAATTCCAGATTTGGTACCCTCCTTGAAGTTCGAATTTGTGGACCCATTTTAAGGGTTTTGGTGCAATATTGAGGTAGAGGCTCTTAATCCACTTCTTTCTTGTCCCATTGTGAATTACATCTCTCTTATGTGCTAACATGCTTATCATGCTTTATTTGAGAATTAATTGTGTTAATAATCATATGAGATGTTGGCTAGAGAAATATATGTTTGTGTACATGAGTTGTTTTATGTGAAAAACATGCTTAGATGTATTTTGTTGTGTTTAATATGTTGATGATCTATCTAGAAATGTTGAACATGATATATGCTCGATTGGATGTTGTAATTCTTTAAATGCCATAATGTTGGAAACATGGAACATATATACATGCATGTACCATTGGGTTGCATGAAACGGGAGAAGTTTGTTCTTGAAACATGAAAATGGGGAATTTCAGGGAAATGTTTTGATGAAATGATTTTATGCAAACCCGGTCGCTGCGGGGACTAGGGAGTCGCCCTAGTGTGGTTGAGCTAGCTGGGCCCCATAATGACGCCGCGGGGTTACCAATGGTCAGGAACACTAGCCAATCCTCCTCTTGTGTCGCGGCGGGGTTACCAAAGGGCGGGCTGTATTAACAATTTGAAAGTGATGGTTTTGAAGGATGAAAATGGGGAGTAACATTTGCATGCGTTGCATTTCACTACATCGGATTGATTATACTTGGATTTAACTTGTATGTTGTATTGATCCCCTATGTTGCATAATCCCCATTTCCCATTGGCTTATGCTTTGATTGGATTCACAAGGACACAAAATGTGTGTCTTAAGTGTCACCTGCTGAGCTTTATGCTCACCCTACCATATACAATATTTTTTTTCAGGTCTTGGAAAAGAACCGGTGGACGACAACCCACCTCAAGCTTGAAAGTTGTTAGAAGACTATTTTAGCTACTTTTGTAATTGGACATTCTCTTGTACATTCATAGATTTTGGTTATGTAACTATAATGTATATCCCCTTGTAAAT